CGCGCCACCCCTGCCTACCTCTTGTATCCGACTCGTGGTAAGCCTATTTTTATTTATAACTTAAAAAATAAGTTTCAGACAAAATTTTGTCACATAAAAAGTTGTTCTAGAATTTAGTCAAAAATATGTATTTTCAAGGATAAAGAGTTGTTATGAATCACCCTGTATATAGTAAAATTAGTTTTATTTTATATTGTTTGTTTTTGTTTGTTCGGCGTGTACTTCGCGCCTTTTTTTACCATTTTAAAAAGATAAGTTTTTTGAGATATCACACATTTTGTAGAATATACGTTTATCTTTAAATTCATCTTCTTTTCCATTCTCTTTTTTTCTCAATTCCTAACGTAATACAATAGTAAAATATTTCTTTCTTTATTTGTTCAAAGAAAAGAATATAAACATTTGTAGCACCTTTAGGCCAATGGTGTTTTCTGATTTGCATATTATCAATTCTGAGCCAGCTCGATTTTCCATCTCTACGCATACTTATATAATGACTGTTTTCAATACACAGTCTATTATTAAATATGGCATTCATTACTTTATACAGCTGTCCACCTACTGACACTTTAGTTGTTATTGGTACAGCACGCAAATTAAATTTGTTTGGTTGTATTATTTTATCTTTATCTGGTGATAAGAATAGAAAATGAATGATAAGTATTTCTTTTGTTACTGTTAATTCTCTTTTAAATATCATTTTATTCCCTTTACAAGTTTTACATAAATTGTTATATGATTCACGCTAATGAGGAAAGATAAGATTTAATAACTTTAAATCATAACTCTTTTTCTCCAAATTAATAACAGGAATTGAAATCAAAATACGATTTGCTATAACTGTATTTATATACTTACAATTGGTGCATCGTGTAGTCGAAGTTACTTGATGGTCGACTACATTGTTTTTATCTAATCTAATTTTGCGCAAAAAGACGAAAGAAACTCATAAGCATCAGGTTTTATATTATTTTAAAATATCAAAAAGAAATTATTCTCGCTCGTAATATAAAAATAAGTACTGAATCCAAGTAAGATCACACATAAACGAGCATAAATGGGTGTTAGGAAAAATATATATATAATATAATTATCAAATTAACAACTACATTAATAACTTATATAACAAACGTTTCAACTCTTAACTTGAGTCATCTTCAGTGTTAACAATATATAAAAAAACAAATAATAAAATAAAATAAATACGCTATGCTGATGGAGGTGTTTTAAAAAATGCAGTCTTCTTGAGTGTAAAATTTCATCTTCGAGTCTTAATGAGGTGATAGATCTGCCTACAAATGTTGAGTTAGAATACACTGATATATATTATATACAAAACACAAATTACTCACAGGTAAAGATCTACGGCCGCACATCAAACAAAAACAGGAAGACAACCGCTTTATATACACTGAATCCCCACTCACTTATAAAAGTCATATGATAAAGGCGTTACGTTCGAATTTTAGAAGATTTAATTTTGTCAAGTAGATTAAAATATGTGTCATCTAGTAAATCCGTGTCATTATTTAAATTTAAACCGTGAAATTGTTCCTTTATATGTATAGTCTCTGAGATTAGCCTTTTATAAAAATTTGATTCATGATCTAAAATATAAGCGTTATCCCAATTAAAAGAGTGGTTGTAATCGATTCTATGTTTAGAGACTACAGAAAGTTGTGAAGAAGTTTTCGTAATGTTGTTCTTATGTTCTTTTAACCTTGTTTTAAGTTGTCTTTTCGTCTGTCCGACATACGACGCACAACAGTTTATACAGTTTATTTTATAAACAATATTCATATTGCCATCATATGGTGTAAAATTCTTATGGACTTTGATTATTTTATTAAGTCTGTTAAGACATTTATATCCAATAATGACATCGTTCTTGTTAAAAACATTTACCATCTTTTCAGATATATTTTTAATATAAGGTAAAACAATTAGTTTTTTATCAGAAGGGCGGGTGTCCAAGTTAAAAGATCCATTAAATTTGTTTGAGATAAAATTCTTAATTCTAGCGTTAATGTTAGTAAAAATAAAATCGAGAGGATAACCGTTGTCGAGTAAAGTGTTGACGACAAAATTAATATTTTTGTTGTGAAAGTCGGGGTGTGATAAAAGAAGTGCTCGGTCAATAAGACTAAAAATTGTGCCTCTTTTATGGCACAAAGGATGATGGGAAAAGTAAGAGAGAAATCTTCCCGAAAAAATTTTCTTATGAAACCAGTCGATTTTTAATCTGTCATTAATGACGTTAATAGACAGATCTAAGAAATTTATAGACCGATTATCCTCCATTTCTATAGTGAATTTAATCCTGTCATGAAACGCATTAAAAAAATCAGTAATCTCTTCCACAATATTAGATGGAGCTGCCATGACAATGTCATCCATGTAACGAAAATAAAAAGGAAGTAGTTTATTAAATTTGTAAAGAGCCTTGAAACGTTTGTTATATAAGTTATTAATGTAGTTGTTAATTTGATAATTATATTATATATATATTTTTCCTAACACCCATTTATGCTCGTTTATGATCTTACTTGGATTCAGTACTTATTTTTTCAGTATTATTTTATTACTTACTTATGTTCCTTATGGTGTTTTTTCTTTTAATGATCACTCTTGTTGCGTTCTCTCTCTCTCACTCTCTCTCACTGTGTCTTTATTCTATTTTGTTTCACTCTCTCCTACTCTCTCTTTAACCCTCTCTCTCACTATCTTTTATTCACTCACACGTTCTCTCATTCTCTCTCTTTTTCTCTCTCTCTCTCTTATTCTCTCATTCTCTCTCTCTCTTTCTCTATCTCTCTTTTTCTCTCTCACCATATATTACAATTCTTTTCCTTGTCTTTTGTTTAATTCGCTCATATTGCCACCTCTTGGAAGCACTAGATACATGCACATATAGAGACAAGGTCCGAACATGATAAAATTTTATATATTTAGAAGAAAATTTCCAATATCTTCGAACAGAAGACACAGACAAAATAACACATAAACGCTTTTTTCTTTAGTTGTTTAATCCGAATCAATTGAGACTAAAAAGAAGTCAATTGGTTCAATTGTTATTGAGATATAAATATTTAATTTTTTACAATGCCTTTCAAAAACTGATTTTCGCGTGTAATAGGCACGGTGCGCCTCGCGCAGTTCGTGTGTCACTTTGTTGCGCGTGAACTTGGCGCGAAGTACTACCGTGCCTTTTGATTAATTTAAATACAATACGTGTTGTGAGTGTACTTGGCGCCTGTTCTTACCTTTTTTTTTTGGAAAAGATAAGTTTTTGGACATGGAGATAAAGGAGGGAACGTCGTCGAAAAAAGGTGAAGCCTATGCAGCCATGTTTATATGAGCCACTAGTACTGCCATCTGTTAGAACTTTACAATACTTCGATGAAATAATGCCCAGAATGATATTTTAAGAAATCTAATAAACATATTTACTTAAAAAACTAACAAAAAAAACAAAATTTAATAAATATTAATTATAGATATTATATTATAGATATTTATAACATTTAATAAATATAGGTAAATAAATAAGTAAATGAAAAAAATAACTTATAAACATAGTTTACTGTCCTGCAAATAATATTAATTTATTATAAAAATGTCTCTTGCTTACATTAATATTCTTATTATTCTGTTTTACAATATAAAAAAATCTTGTCTGTACATATTTTATTATAATACTTTTAATTAAATTTATTCTATGACATGTTAAAAAGTTTTGATCATATGAATGAGTTATCAATTCTTCAAATATATTAATCATATTTAAAATTAAAAGTACATTTTGTGTAATATAAAGAATATTTTGAACTAAAAGTTATATTATTTTCTTTTATAGCAAATCTGATAATCTTTTCTGTTTCAAGGCATATTTTTATCACGCTTTCTGAAGGATATGTTAAACTTCCACGATCTTTTATTTGTATAATTTTCTTTGATTTACTATTATCAATTAAGGCATTAACACCAATATCACACATGATGTATGTTTAATTAAATGTCTTACAATAAATCCAGCTATGTAACTTATGACTTCTATGGAATATTGATCTAAATTAATAATATTATAAATTAATGCTGCAATATAAGGATGATCGTGTTCAACTGAAATTTGATTAATATACTTTTCAGTGTCAAATTCATAATTATCGATCATACGATCAATTATACAAGTTTTATTTATTAATTTCTCTGGTTTAAGTACACTTTCTTCCTGTCATTAACAGATTAATACGCATCAACGTCAAATAATACTACTCTCAATGTGTTGAAATAATACCACTCTCATCAAATAGATAGCAGCACTAGTGGCTCATATAAATATGGCTGAAGGTTGTTTAGAGGTCAAATCACCCCCGCACCATGGCTTCACTCCCCGCGCCTATAATATCCCTTAATGCTCCCTCCTTTATCTTCATGGTTTTTGGATATATTACACATTTTGTAGTATTATTAAATTTTGTAGAACAAGTCTTAGAAAAAAATGTTTTGTAGTATTAAATCAATTTTTAATTTATTAAATTTTAAATTTGTACTTTATAAAGTTAAGGTTATATAATTAATATTTATTTGTTATATATATTTATCGTATTTATTCGTTATATATCTTGTGCCAAGTTTCAAAACAGTTAATTAAAAAAATATATATTAGAGGTGTTGACGGTGCGAAAAAATTTTTTTATCTGTTTTCTGAATACACTACGTGTTGTGCGTACTTACTTAGCGCCTGTTCTTATCTTTTTTTAAAAAGATAAGGTTTTTGAGATATCATACATTTTGTATTTTTAAATAAATACCGCGTGAGACTACAAGCAAGCCTCAGATTACGATCTATCTAGCTAATGCTATTCCTTTCACTTTCGTGCGGAATCTATCAACTCCAATAAGAAAATGCCAATGATCGCTAAAGCTTTTGCCTAAAAGTGCAAACTCTCTGATCAAAATTTGTTATATTTGTTTCTAAATAGAAAATTTGTTTTCAGAACTGTCAAGTTGTAATCAGAGAACCTTATCGTGATGGTAGAAACAATACGTGGACTGGCACAGGTTTCATGAAGGCTCTCGAGGGTTCAATGCTGAACTTCACTATTGACGATATTCGTAGATCTATGTGGTACGATGTAATTATACGATACGAACCAATTTATCCAGGTGCTTGGGAAAATGTGGAAATTATTCTTGAGAGAGACAGTCCGCCAGATTCCGAAGGTCTTTGCGCTGACAGGAAGACTGATCGTTTACAGGCTCAGTTGCCTTTACTTTCGAGAAGCACTATAGCGCAACCGTCAATATGTCTGGAAGCGGGAAAGCGATATAACCTGTTGTTGCAATTTCGCAATTTTAACAGTCATATAGATACACCGTCAGCCTCTATCTTGGTTGATTCGGTAATATACTTCTTATATAATTTACTGTCTTTTTTCTTAAATTGTTATATCCGGAGTTTCACCAATTCAGCCACTGAGACTCTTAAAAACAATTATTTTAAAAATTAATATGTCAATTAATATGTCATTTAGTGACATTCTCTCTCTGATTTACAGTGAAACTAAAGTAAAAGACTAAATTACTGTCACCTGAACGATAAACTCTGACGTTAGTGAATTGTTTTTACCATTTATTTATCAAAAACATATATTTTTTTCTTATCTGGTATTATTTAATGTCTCTAATATAAGAAAAAAAATACGTCTCTCGAAATCTCTATTTTTATTTATTAATTCAATAATTAAAAAAGAACAATGCGAAAGCTATTACTGTCACCCTTAAAATGTAGTTGACTCAATTAGTGGCACCCCAATTAATGTTACCTGACCAAATACTGTCACGGTGAGGGACTCAATTACTATGTTTTAATCAAATATCAAATTCTGGTATTAATGAACGACATTTGGTAATACTTTTGTATTTCTATAAATGAAAATATATCACCTAGTATAGAACAATATGAAAAAAAAAAAACATTTATTAAATAGGTATATCAAAGTAATTTCAGTATGTGTTACGAGAGTTGAAACGTGTTTGGCTCTGTCATTTGAGCAAGGATCCGAGTTATGAATGTTCTATAACATAGATGACAGTAACAGCGTACACCTTTATTTTCACGACAAATACTGCCATGACAGTAATTCCAAAATGCGTGAATCGCTTGTACCAATCGCTATTATCCATATATTAAATAAAAGCAATTGAATAAATTGTTATTACATTCAACGATGCTTATAAAGTCTAAAATAATAATTTCTTCTTATCAACTATTACAACAATAGCCTTCTTTTTAGTATCTTGCTTTATCTTTCGTTAGTGAAGCAGTCGTTTTCACTTTTTTAATCAACATACATTTTTTTTAATCATTCTATAAGAAAAAAGTGAGACAAGAATGTTGAATGCTGGATTGTTTATTATATTAATTGCACTTATTTAATTTAAATTTTATAATTTAAAGAAAAGACAAATAGAGTTCCAAAAATTTTAAAATTTAAGATGAGAAGCAGTTGAAGCAAGACACGGATGTTGTTTTGCAAACACGTGAAGGTGATTTTTATTTCAAGATGTAATGTGTATGTATAATGTGATAACGTTTTGAACATCGGTTTAGGTCTTTATCAAAATCTTTCGATGGTCGAAACGTTATCACATTATACATACACATTACATCTTGAAATAAAAATCACCTTCACGTGTTTGCACAACACCATCCGTGTCTTGCTTCAACTGCCTCTCATCTTGAATTTTTAAATTTTATATTTAAAAGTCTATATTAAAATTTTATATTATATTTTTTTACCCATATTATTTTAGGATAACTTTAATATTTTAAATATAAACAATCAAGGTCTGTTACGAGCTTGATTGTTATTTGTAATTTTAATTTTATTTCTCTGCGTTTTGTTTCTTTAATAAATTTTAAGATCCATTAAAGCTCGTAACAGACCTTGATTGTTTATATTTATCTATACTTATTGTTAATATCACGAGCGAATTTAATAATATATATCTTATGTTTTAATATTTTAAATAAAATAGCTTAGAGTGACAATTGGGCAGGTGACAGTAATTGAGTTTTTTACTCTATTAGTCACATGAAATCAGTCAGTGAAATTTTAACTGATTCCTAGTGAAACTAATCTGTCACTGAATCAATTAGTAAAAGTTTTACTGATTTACTTTAAGAAAAGCTTTTGTTTTACTGTCAATCAATGTCAATATTATTAATTTTTAATAAAATTTTTTGTCACTGAATAATTTTAGTAAAATTTTAATTAATTCTACTTAAGAGAGTTAGTGGCATTCCAATTACTAAGAGTTAGTTTAATTATAAAATTTAAAAGAGAGAGTTTAGTTGCTTGATTTTAGTTTCAACTCTCTGTCAAAGAATTCTAAAAATTTTGTCTCTCGCTTTTCTTTCATCGCATTTACTTTGGTAACGATTTTTGCCTCTTTAGCAGGGTATTATAGATACTATTTCTAAACACACCACAATGACAAAATGAAAACTGTCGCTGAGATAAATGCAGTTAAGGAAAAGCGAAAAACATTACCTACGTTTAATTTTCCGACATAGACATATAGGAAATCTTATATGTCTGTTTTTCGACAGTTGCAACTAAATTTACTGCCTTAAACAATGACAGCACTGAATTAAAACAAAAAGCATAAAAATCAATTTTCTAAAAGATAATTCACACAAGCTTAATAATAAAATATTAAAAGATGTAACAATTAGCTAATCATTTTATACGTGCAATTTTTGTAGGTTGTTCTCAAGCCGAAGATAGACGTAATACCCTTCTTTAACACATCAGGTTTGGGTGAATTACGTCGCCAAGAATATGAACGATATCATTGTAACGACTTCTTTACTGATGTCAACAGCGTGTGGAGTAATATACCTGAGATTTGCAGAAAATATCAAAATAGCATCGGTTATTATGTTTTTGATGGCGCTCACTGTAAGTTATATACATTGTTACACAATATTTTCTCTCATTCATTTCAAGTATTTAAATACAAACAGCACAATATCTTCAAGATATCTTCAGAACAATTCTAAATATACCCTAAATATCTTACGCATGATATGTTTAAGATATTATCAGATAGTTATAAGATGTTATAAGATACTCTTCTAACGATTCTGAATATATCAATATTCTTGGACATGTATAGAGAGTTAGAATGTAATTCTAAGGAATAGCAAATAGAAGCGTGGCTCATACCAAATAGGTAGCAGCTTTTCTCAAAGTTAAGTTTTGTTGATATATAATGTTTATATATAATGTTCGAGAATGGACCAGACAGTCAATGCTGAAGAAACTGCTCATCATATGAGCCCATACAGCATACTTTCCCAAATAGCACATAGACATCCTCTGAAAATCCAAAAGACATCTTATACGGACGAAACAGATATCCTATTTTAATCCCAAGATCTTTTCTGGATATCTTGATAATAGTATGTGGACCGTTATGGCGCGTCAAAACAAACCCCCTCTACCTGGCCCCCCCACCACTTCTGGCGCCATTGCCCCACCAGGGAGGTTTCCCCCTCTCTTTGGGGCCATTCCCATTAGAGGGGATAGAAAAGTGACATGATTTATGACCCAGTAAATTTTTTATAATTTTTTAAAAGTGTGTATTTTAAATTTTTTGTTGAGAAATTTGTGTAGGGAGGGGAGGAAAGTTCGAGAATGTTCGAGAGTAAGGATGTAATTCTTTATTAAAAGAGTATATATTTATTTAAATATTCGTCTTGAAGCGTAACTGCTGCCGCTCCGATGTTGTTACTTCGCGCGTTCGAACGTTTATGAGAGCAAAGTGGCGTCGGTTGAGGGAGGAAATGTAAGGGCGGGGGTGGCGTCAGTCCCGAGAAGGATCAATCAGCGTCTGGTACGTTATAGCTCCCAATAAGCGTGGAGCAGAGTTGAGGGCGTCTAGGCGAAATAGAAACCGAAATAAAAGTAGGTGTAGCAAGTCTGTGACTAGAAAGTCAGGGTTCTGATGTAATATAAAAAATAAATTTATGTGTCCGTTGCGGATTTTCTTTTCTGAACGATTTTCATCTGCGCGAACTTGTACGTGCGGGTTGACAAGTGCGTGCCGATGAGCAAAAGAGAACATAATTTTTTTTGAAGACAAAAAACGGTTTATGACTCGGGACAAAGCACCCGTTAAACCTACTTGTTCGTGGGAGGTTGACAAGAGCGTGCCGTACAGAAGAGAACATAAGTTTTTTTGAAGATGAAAGACTTAATTTATGATTCGCGACCTGCGCGTACTTCTTCGCTCGAGAAACTTCGAGAAAATTCTACGAGAGTTTTCAATAAATGGATATTTAATGTAGAATGTTTATAAAAATGGAACCATTTAAAAGAATTGTTTATTTATGTTCCACACGCATATGTACACATGTGTGAGTAGCTATAACACAAAGTAAATGCGCAGGTAAAGACTTCTGGGATGTGTGAGGATAAAAATAATTTATAAATGAGAAAAATATTATTATTGTTAATTGTCGTATAAAACAGTTGTTAGAGTGAAAAGTGAGAAGAAATGGAGAAAAATAGTGAAAAACAGCAACAATCTATATTCATCAAATGTAAATTCGACCTTGTAGCCTGATCTTGTCCACGGGTGGGAGTGGTGTAAAAAATCGTAGAAAGTGTTGTTTAATGGGACGTTTCGATCATAATTTAATTTCGATTATCATCAGCCAATCTTGGAAAAACAAATACAATAATTAAAAAAAAATTGAACAATTAATAGTATAAGGTACAATTGACAATAAATAGAGAAGTATTACAATCCACACACAAATAGCAAAATCATGAGTACGCATCTTGATAAATTCAAACCGACAAACAGCTACCGCATGTCAAAACATGAGAAGAGTCGCTAACCGATGAACAAAGTAAACAAAGACCCTGTATCGGTGTTTCTACAATGAAACAATCTACGTTTATATAAAATATAAAAATTATCATCAAATTAAATTAATAATTAATTTTTACAGTCCTTATATAAAAAAACTGAGAAAATTACCAAATTTTAAGATAATAAATTAATGGATTAGAATTGTCAAAAAATAAAAATTAGAGTAGTCAAAAGATAAAAATCTAAGATAGTCAAAATTAGTCAAAAAAAAACAAAAAACTTACATTTAGTTGGAAGATTAAAAAACATAGCAACTCATCTCACAATGACACACAACAGCGATCGTCGTCAACACAATCGAGACCATCTCTCACAAAGTACAGACAAAGAATGATCGATAAAGCAAAGCAAATCGATAAACCAAGTCTGAGAGAGACAACTGGTGGGGAGAAGAGAGCAACGAAAAATTTTTTTAAGAATTAAATTTGTTTAATAACGGAATGTAAGCAGGATCAAGCAATTCCGTATATACACAGTTTGTCCGGAAAGTTCCCGGACTACGTGAATTAAAAATCGAAAATGAAAGATATGGTTTATTAAACAAGTTTACACTTCAAGG